GTGCTGATGTTTTTATAGCCTTTGATTTTGTCAAATTATCTGGTGTTTCAGCTACAGTATTGTGATAAGCGGTATCCATGAACCTGTATCACAAATGCAGTAGTAATTAAAAGAAAAGGAGAAAAATTAAAAAAGGCTTCTGCTCAGTTATGTAATAATAACATTGTAATTCAATGTAAAACGATTTTACAAAACAATTTTGTTGTTAGTATTCAGATAATCTTAGAAATATTTCATTTAAGCAATTTATAACTGCAAAAAGGGTTGGGAAAGGCATAGTCTGATCTCCTTTAACTTCACAAGGAGGAGAAAGAATCACCGTCAGCACAAGGCTGATTGTTATGAGGCGGGGATCAGACATGCCTCCACCTTCCAACTTCATTACTAATTCTGACACCAACCGTCCCTCCCAACAGCACTCTCTACTTCTCTGGTGGGCTCGATAATTCATTGCAATGGGCACACAGAACTCACACACAATACTCAGAATTATGGGGTGTTTTACGGAAGTAATAGATTACAATTCAGGACCAGAAACAACTCAGGATACAGTTCTTCAGTCAGGACAGCCTCTTCTCAGCTGTTCTGGAGGCACACTTTTCTCTGACCTCAGCTTCTTGGAGCCACAGCCCCTTGGCCTCGGCCCTGCTCAGGCAAGTGTTACAAAGCTCTTTTAGCTCTGGCAACAGGTGCTCAGAGAGGCAGCTCACTCCACCAGCAAGCCACCTGCCCAAAGGCACTCAGTTTTCTAGCTCCGTGGGCCAGGAAGCCTACTTCTCTGTCTCGTGTCAGTCTCTTGGTTCTGCTGCCTCTGCTGCTGCTGTTTTGCTGCTGCTGCTTCTTGCCGTCTCAGTGCAGGGGTCTTGGGTCCAAGGATGAGCTCTACTCCTGGCTCTTCTTTCTTGATGGTAGTGAGTGCTCCTTTTCCCTCTCTGGGATGGCTCGTTATAAGCCAGTGAGATGGCAAAACTGGACCAATCCTCATGTTCGGGTTCAGTACATTTTATTTGCATGGTCCCACCCTACAAGAGTGCTATGTACCTTGTTTACATTATTAGCAATCTATCCAATCCTCTTGGGAGGCCACAAGCACCTCACATTTGTATAGTCTCACCCAGTCATCTGGTAGCGTAGTGCCTAAGAAGTCTGGCGGTTCAAACTCACCAGTCACTCCTCAGAGGGAAGGTTGGGCAATCTACTTCCGTAGTGATACTGCCTTGGAAACCCAAGGAGGGGTCACTATGAGTCGGGGCAGCCTCCACAGCACATAACAACAACAACAACAACAACAACACCCAGTCATTTGATGGGAGTCACAAAGCCCATGGCACCACAACAACTATATTTATCACATATTATTCTACGATCAAAATTCTATGATAATAAGCATTACCAGTGATTCTGTATGTCCTGGTACAGGAGGAGGTCAATGTGTGTGTGTGTGTGTGTGTGTGTGTGGTGGGGGGAGGTGATACCATGAGTTACCACAATGGTTGACATCAACCCTAGTGACACCACTGCTTATATCAGAGGGGCAGTAGGCTCTTGTAGTACCAGGGTCACAGAAAATGGGATACATTTAGTGCCTTTTCCCTCAATGAATAAACCTGGGATGATAAGAAGGTGTTCTTGGAGGAATTTGGAGACAAATTAAGGGAAGTACAGGGGCTGGTTGACTAGAAAGGAAAGTTCTTTGAAGCTGGAAGTAGACTCTCACCATCGCCTTCATCAACTAATTCTTTTCCGTTTTCCATTAGCCAAAGGTAGCAGTTGGGGCAAGGGTTTATTTGTGTTGCTTTGAGGTTCAGTTGAACAAGTTGAATGTTAGAAATAAATAAAAATGTTTTTCAGTCCTGGAAATAACCTTGGTGATATCTGTGCCAGCCTTACAACTAGAAATATGAAAAAATGGAGACCTAGAAAGCTTAGGTGTTTGCATTAGGGCACAGAGCTGGTGAAATGAAGGAACAAGGCAGAATGACTAGAATGGAGGCTCACAAAGGCAGGGATCCAGTCTGTCTACCTCACCACTGTATATATATTGCCTGTAACAATGCCTGGCAATAGCAGAAGCTCAATAAATATTTGTTGAAGAATAAATGATTAAACCCGTATCTTATGATTCCTTGTAGCATTCTTTCTACTGCACTATAGAAACTATGGCAGATTTAGTAAGAAAGAGGGTCTCAGCAACCAGGAGTTGCTTGTAAATATCAAAGGATGAAGATCATTACAATACAGATAGGTCTCCTCAGAAACATAACCTCACCTTATAGGAAGAGCAAATTTTTCATCACAAAGCAGACTGAACCCCATTCCCCAGCCAAGATGTTTATAGAACTCCTAATTTACAGTTAAGCAACCAATTATCCAATAGCCTCAAGGTTCTGCCCATACATGTTCTATCCTTGTGGAGCAGTAGGAGGGTTGGCCTTCAAGTCCTTCTGCCAGCACGCTAAAAGAACAGCCAGAGGCATGGGCTGGCTGACTTTTTTTTTTTTTAACTACATATTATTATAACTGTGATGAAAGAATACTTTCTTCTTTGGAAATTGGCTCTTTCCTCATCTTGTAAAGTATTACAAGAACTCTGAAGGGTTCTGATTGTTTTTACTATAATTATTATCATCAAACTGTAGCTTGGCTGGTGAATGTGTATTTCAGGAGTATCCTGGGGCTGGCATTTATAAGGATGCTCTGAACCTAGTGCCCATGGAAAGGATCCTGGAGAAAGCCAGTGAGACTCATCCAGAGTTTTTGTGAATGTCCTTAAGTAAGGAAAAGCAAACCTCCTTTAGGAGAAAAAGTTTTGTTGCAGTTAGAAATCATTTGAAAGAGATGGGGTACGAAGACAGTGTCAGGGGTTTCTCAGACTCTGCCTTTGGTGGCTATCTGCTACTTGTATTAAAGTGTGGATGGTGCCCCATGCAGAAAATACAAGCTTACTCCATTAGAACGATACCCAGGAGCTATAGGTTTGGCTTCCATATCTCCACCAAGGACCAAAATGTTGAGTGACTCTAGCTTTAGAGTATCTTTTAATCTCTTAAATTAGAAATGATTACTGACTTCTAAGAACTTATTCCTAGCTTTTTTTTTTCATGTGCCATCGAGTCGGATCTGACTCATAGCGACCCCTCCTTGGGTTTCCGAGGCAGTTATCACTATGGAAGTAGATTGCCCAATCTTCCTTCCAAGGAGTGGCTGGTGGGTTT